ATCATTGAAAAGATTAGCATAGTATGGTAAATTTTTGGAAAACCCAAGCAAACATAAGGCAGCTATATTAGTAGATCCTTGATCACAAACTATACATCTAATGTGTAAACCAGTTTCTTAAACCTTAGAAATGGTTTCACGTAGTAAAGATGCAAAGTCAGCTGTTTATACTGTTGAACTAGTATAAAAATAAGCTATTGGTTGTTTGCTTGGTTGCTATTGGTTGTTTCCATTTATTTGCCTAATCCCTAAACATAATTACATGAGCCTGATTTAAAAGTTTTCCATTTTTCACACCATAAACCCTGTCCCAATTTCTATCATACTCTAAATTCTGCTTTAATAACATCTCATCCATAACAAGACTGACATTATGATCAAGCGGGTTCATTGCATCAGCACATAACTTTAATAAAGAAAATAATCGAGTAGAAAAACCTTCTTGAAGATCTAAAAATACACAGACAAAAATAATAATAGACAGGTTTGACCTTAAACAGAATATTGTTTGCAAGACATTAAAAGTTTGAGAACTATGAAACAGAATTCCCAAAGCCAAAACTTTGTCACAAACTGTCCAGCATTTTCCTTTATTGACTCATTTACTTGTTTCTAATTGACTTTTAAATTATTTTTTCATTATATTATTTTCATAATTACTTTTATTATATATTATGGAAATAAAAAGTTATTGAGTTTATGTAGTCTAGAATTTCCGACTCGCAATATTAATAGTAACCTTTGAAGTTTGTTAAAATTTATTTTATTAGTAGACATTTTGTTCTCTAAATTACTATCTGAATTAACAGGTAAACAAACAACTTACTTTTTTGCTGGAACTGTATGATATTTATATGGTGGTTTCCTTTTGCAACCAAGAAGCGGAGGAGGATTTAAAATGTTAAAGATAGTAGGAATTGCTGATTGTAACAAATGTTTTTCCACCATTATTTGTAGAAAATACATTGTATTTTCAAAATGATAACTGCACAAATAAAAGTTTTTGTTTAAAAACACAAAATCTTTTTTGTCTAAATCTTTCTGACGACAGTTGATGACCCACTATTTACATTTGAAAATTAAACAATAAAAGAGTATGTTTTAAAATACTACAATAATAATAATTTTATAAGCTTTTAATGAAGAAAAAAAAAGATATTATAAATAATATATGAATTAGCTTGCCTTTTTTCGTTTTTAGGAAAACGAAAGAATGAAATATCTTTTCAGTTTTTTCCACTCCTATTTCCACAGTTTGAAGCAGCACAAAATGATGGCATTGTTATAAATAAGATTTAAATTCTTTTAGGTACATAATAAAAAAGAACTGTTTGCTACTTAATATTATAAAATTCTGAGGTCCGGCAGGACATCCCAGAATGCTTTGCAGTAAAATTACAATGAAATATATATGAAATTATACATGATTGGATAGGCTTTGATGGTCTATCCAATCATGTATAATTTGGTCAAATGATCTATCATCTATATTACAATAAACCAAAATTCATTCCTGCTTGGCTTCTTATTCAAAAGTAGCATCCTTTTACTGTAAATTTTTATCCCTTCATGCTATAAAAAATTTTATTAATCCAGTTTGTTTCCTTGCACATCAAAAAAACCTTATAACTCTTACCCATCTTCATGTTTTCCTTTTTTGTACAGCTAGAACTTTTCAAGTCTTCAGTTAACTGTTTCCTTGTGTTTTAACTCTATCCTCTATTTTAAAGTAACTCATAACTTAATAGTGGTTCTTTGCAACCTTGTTGAAAGTAAAGAGTTTATAGTATTCTAAATTTTTTTTAATGGGTGATGCGGAAGTTAGTGGACAAATCTGAATTTAATTATTTGAGCATAGTAATTTTGTGATTATATGTGTATGCATAAGCGTTCTACAAAATACAAACTTTATTATTTGAAACACAATTATTTAAAATAAAGTTAAATGTAGCTGAACAAGAATCTTTTCAAAAAGCGACTCAAAATGTTTTTTGTAGACAAACCTTATGTTAAAAAAACAGAAATCATAAATCATTTTGAAAAGAAAGGATTTGCACGAAGTATAATATATGATAACCTAAAAAGACTAGAAATAGTTCAATCCTTTTTTGATAGAAAGCACTCTGGTTGTTCAACATCCTGGACCAGAGAAAAGAAAGCCGAATTAACGAGACTTTTCAACAATCAAAAATAGGTCAATCAGTGATAAATAGGTTTTAAATTTGGTGTAAATCAATCAACAATTGATTGTCAGTTAAAAAAAGATGAATATTAGATATAGAAAACGTGAAAAGACTCCAAAATACACTATAGAACAACAATTAAATGCAAAGAAAAGAAGCTGGAAACTAGTTAACCAACTTTATAACACAAAATCGCTTCTGGTCATTTATGACAAAAAATGCTTTTGTTTTGCAAGGGACAATGTGCCTGGATACGACACAAACAACAAAAAAACATGCCCAGAAAGTATTCGTTTTATAGGAAAAGAGAAATTTCCAAAAAAATTATTAATGTGGATAGCCATATCTGCACATGGTACATTCGAGTCATTGTTTTGCACTTCCAAAGCTGTAGCAATTAATTCATCGATCTATATTGATGAATGTTTAGAAAAGCAACTTCATCCATTAATTCACTAGTATCATGGTAACTTTAACTACTTATTATTGCCAGATTTAGCAAGTTCTCATTATTCTAAAGATTCTCTAAATTGGATGTCTATTATGTTGATTAAGAATCCAATCCTCCAAATGTGTCTTAACCACAACCAATTGAAAACTTTTGGGTACATTTGGCACAAGTTTTGATTGATCGAATTAAATTAAAACTACAAGAAATTGATTTAAATTTTTTACAGTAAGGTGTCAGAGCAAAATTGAGATCATTTGTAGAAGGTGGTGTTTTTTTATTTAAAAAATAACTTATTTTTATTAAAAGATCAATACTTTATTTAAAAAAAATAATAATAATAGTTTTTTTTTTCATTTATAAATAAGTTATTGACATTTTTATTTTGTCTGATAACTTATGCATCGCCCATTTGCCCTGGATATATCTACCTCTGGTAAATCTTATAATTTTGGGCCAGGTTTGCAAAAAGTTTTATTTTTAACCAGGGCTGGAGCCAGGGCCCTGGTCACTTTCTAATGTTAAAAAACTTAAATTAATTTTGTGCTTTTTTACCTAAATGCACAGTGGTCTGAAAAACTTGATCTTTAGCCAAAATTAAAACAAAAATTGATAATTTTTGTTTTTTTAAACATAACATTGTCCAGGCAATTCAAAAATATATAGGTTTCATATTTTTTCTTGAAAAAAAATAACCGTATCCAAGAGCGATTAAAAACCGATGAATAATTTCTTGCAAAAATACAACATTTTTTCATTTGTGTATAAATTTAAAACTATATGCACTGATGTAAAGATTTTTTTTAAAAACAAATTTTGTAGTATAGAGTTTAATTTGAAACAATAATAATTTTTTATTATTATATATTTGCATAAGTTACTTATGCTTGAAACTAGCATAAAATAAAAGTTTTTTTTCAATTTCAACTTCTTTCTAAAAATAAAGTCCGCATGCATGGACTTCTAAAAATAAAGTCCGCATGCATGGGCTTCTAAAAATAAAGTCCGCATGCATGGACTTCTAAAAATAAAGTCCGCATGCATGGACTTCTAAAAATAAAGTCCGCATGCATGGACTTGATCGATATGATTTTATTAAATCCTAATAATATTCACACAAAAAAATCAGCTTCAGATAAAATTTTTTAAATCAATTTTGAAGCTCCCAAAATATATCTTTTTTATGTTATCAAAAATGTGTGTCTCTATTTTTGTTTTATTTCTATAAATTCATGTTCAAAAACTTTATTTCTTTATACAATCATACTTGCTACCTAAATTGTTAAAAATAGTTCAAATATTCATTTTTATTTTATTTTTATAAAATATTCCATATATTTAACTAAATGTAAATACTTAAAAAAATGCATATTTTGGTAAATTTAAAATCTATGTAAAATGCAAAGTACTCTATTAAAACATATTTATAGTATATTTTGAACATCTATTATCGCATTAATATTTCCTAAAAAAATCAGCTGCAGATAGTTAAAATATTGGAATTAATATTAATTGCAAACCATACCATATTGACACTATATTTGTGTTGTTTTTATACCACATTTTATCTTTGTTATTCTGTATTTTATGCATACTTTTTATATTATGGTTTTTAATTTAATGTATTGACTTATATATTTTTAGATTAATTATCAAATTGAAAATTAGAATAGTAGCTTTTCATAAAAAAATAAATACCCAATTTAGGAATAATATTGATGAAAAACTTGTCACAAATAAATGGATATATATATATATATATATATATATATATATATATATATATATATATATATATATATATATATATATATATATAATATATATATATATATATATATAATATAAAATTTAAAATATAAAAATTTCACAAAAAGTTTTCATTTTTCTGCTTGTGGTTTCATATATATAATATATATGAAACCACAAGCAGAAAAATGAAAACTTTTTGTGAAATTTTTGACTGGGCCGCTTATGCAATATCTGAACAACAAAACCTTTATATCAAAAACTGTTTTTAGATTTAGATTCAGCATTATCGATTTAGTATATAAACATCAAATTTTTAATTTTGGCCAAAAATCAAGTTTTTCAGATCACTGTGAAATGGTTCGTTATGGCAGCTTGGGTTTTTTAAAAATTATTAGCTCACTAGTATTCAGAGAAATTTATAATAGTTGCTCAGTAACTTAAATCTATTTTTTTCCTGAATATTTATCTAATTATTTGTAATTCATTTTTCTTTATTTATATAATAATAATTGAACTCATTTTTAATTACTAATAATTAAATTCATATCGTCATGTTAAAATTTGAATACATTTTACAATACTGCCAACTTATAAGTAAAAGCACTACTTTAATTTATTTTTCTTCGTGATATTAGTTAAGTAGCATTTTTGGTCACAAGTTTGCTATTTTTTTAGGCTCAAACTTTATTTAACTTAGAAGACTTTTTGTTTTGAGTTTAATGTGAAACAAACATATATAGTAATAATGAAGTAACTAATAATATTTTGTTTTTGTGTTAACTTAATCTAAAATTATTTTGAAACATTTATGATTGTAAATTTTTATATGTATAAAAATGGATTCAGGGAATTCTAATATATATTATACATGTTTAATGTAAAAGTCCTGAAAATTATAGGAATTTTATAATCTATATAGGCTGGGCACCCTGTTAAAAAGGTTTTATTTTTGGTTGCTTGATCTTCAAACTGAAAATTTGCTAACATATTTTTAGAGTGATAAGTCCAGGGCAATGGACGTATCGTTTGTTCAAGCTGATTTCGTTACCTTCCCTGCTTCCTGCTTTTCTTCATAAGTGGCTGTGTCAAAATATTGCCTTGTTTTCATCTCAGTACATCAGTCAAAAGTACATTTTAATTTTTGTTTTGTTATATAATAAATGATAAAAACATTAAAAAATAAATAATTGACATAATTATATTGTTTTTATTATTACACATTGGTTTAACATAAGCCTTGAATAGTTGTTGTATGTTTGTGTGTATGTCAACTTAATTTCTCCGCGCAGTGGCCTTGCTTGTCAAGGTTCGTGTTTCGAAGTTAAAGAGTTGAGAGAGGGTTGTACCACGATTTACAACAAAAAAAAAAAAAAATGAGTAGACTCCTCCACTGTAGTGGCCCCCTCGGACCTTAGGGAGTTGAATAATTAAAAAAAAAAAAAATTTGTGTGTGTGTCTATATATATATATATATATATATATATATATATATATATATATATATATATATATATATATATATATATATATATATATATATATATATATATATCAGTCTTCTCCATTTGAGATTTATTGCCAGCGCACGAAAAAGTGCTGGCCGGACAGTAATTATTTGTCTGGCGTGCGCGATTTTAAAAAGTATTTGTTTTTTTGTACCTCTTTAATTAGAATTTGATTAAGAAAGATTTATTGCAATTTAAAAACGCGCATGAAATTTTTTTGTAAGCGCTTAAAAAAACTCTAGCCATAGTATTGGCAAGCGCAAAACTGCAAAAGCTCTCGTCAAACGGAGAAGACTGATATATATATATATATATATATATATATATATATATATATATATATATATATATATATATATATATATATATATATATATATACACACACACTCTCTAAGAAAAAAATTGTTATATACAACGAGCTGCATCTGTGGCTATTGCTCCAACAGGTTTTCTGTTATGTTAACGGATTAAAATTTTAACGGATTGAAGTTCGTCGATATTAGTCCTTTGAAATTAAGGATTTATTCCGTTTGTACAACAAACAATTCGTTAAAATAAGGGAGCTATTACGCTAGGCGGCTTTTGCTGTTTTGGTAAAATAAAGAATTTACTATTTGATTGTATTGAATAATTTATTATTCCCTTTATTAAAATTACAAAATAGTCCTTATTTTTAATGTATAAATTATTTTATGATATTCAACATCTGATACAAGCAGTACTACTTATAATAAACTAACATGATCGGGAGAGATTTTTTAGCTTTAAAAACCTTTTAACTTTTAAATTGAAAACTAATTAAATATTTATAATAATTCAAAATTTAAACATTCAATTCAAGAATTTAAAAAGTTTTTTAATATATATTTTATTAATACAGTTATTATATTCAAGGTCAAAAAACATTTATATAAAAAACACAGACATGTATACAATTGTTACTATTTTAGGTTTCAATTTATAATACTGTTTTAAATTCATGTGTGTGTACATTTCAATTTCAGCAGCCTGTTATTGATTATTTGAAGATAAACAAACCTTAAATCACAAAACGAAATTATTGAATATAAATGGTATTCAATAATAAAAAATGGAAATTTTTACTAATAACCCTGTAAGAAACATTTGTTGCTAGTTCTTTATTTCTAAATTGCTAATAAAAAATATATTATTTTATTAGTTCTACATTTCAACGTATTAAACAAAAATTAAATTGGCTATAAATAATAACCTTATCTGCTAAGGGAAAGGTTCTAAAAAATTTACACACATCAAGAATAAAAGAAAAAAAATCTCACCTTTTTATATAATAATAATAAACTTAATAAATTTAAATTCTATTAATATTAGAATTTAAATTTGATACCTTATGCCTGAATGCCTAAAGTAGCAAGTTCTATACAAATATATACAATATACAATATACAAATATATACAATATATAATATATATAAACAAGCAGTATATAAACTTAGTTGTAACTAACATAAAAAAATTACAAGTAAAAAAATATAATAGTTTCACAACTAAATTAAACTTACAGAGTGATATAGCATGACACGTGTCTAAAATAGCAAGTTATCAAAGTATATACAAACTTAGATATACAAATTATAACAATCCATAAATAAACTTTGCTGAAACTAGCCTAAACAAATACCCATTAAAAAAAATGCAAGTAAACATTTTACAACTGGTGAAACTTACAGTGTGAAAGTTCCATGCCACGTGCCTAAAATAGTCAATTATAAAAGCATATAAACAAATTGTATTTAAACTTAGCAGCAACTAGTCTAAATAAATATACCCATTAAAATAAATGAAATTAAACATTTAAATTTGATACCTCATGCCTGAATGCCACATGTCTAAAATAGCAAGTTCTATACAAATATAAATAAGCAATATATAAATATGTAACAAACATAAAAAAGTTGCTAGTAAAAAAAAAAGCAACTAATTTAAACTTACAGTGTGATATAACATGACATGTGTCTAAAATAGCAAATTATAAAACTTAAGTATACAAATTATAACAATCTATATATAAGCTTTGCTGTAACTAGCCTATAAAAAGCCCATAAAAAGAAATGCAAGTAAAAATTTTACAACTGATTTATTTTCAACTGAAGAAACTTACAGTGTGATATTGCATGCCACGTGTCTATTCAAATCGCAAATTATAAAAGCATATAAACTTAGCTCTATGTAAACTTTATCATTTATAAATAAATAGCTATAATATATTGACAAATCTAAATCAAACAAACATCATTTAAAAATATAATATACAGATGAAGCACTTCATAATTTCTTATGGAAACCCTTTTCATTAAAAAGTTCAGTTATTTTTCAACAGATTTGAATATTTAATGAATTGAATTAACGAAATTTTGAAGAATCCGTTAATAGTTAATTTTACTTGGTTAATTTTGTGATTTTTGGTTACGAATTACTTTGTTAATTTAACGGAAGAAAGTAATCTGTTGCTTTTTCTAACGAATTGTTTTTAGAGTGTATATATATATAAAACTCCATGTTTTTTACAACTATAAGTTTCATGCTAAATGCAATCATCAGGTAAAAATCTTCAAGGTTTTTTACCTTGATGATTTTTACCTATATATATATATATATATATATATATATATATATATATATATATAATATATATATATATATATATATATATATATATATATATATCAACTTGATTCTCTGCGCAGCGGCCTTGTTCGTCAAGGTTTGTGTTTCGGAGTTATAGAGTTGAGAGAGGGTTATAACCACTATTAAGTAGCCTCCTCGCCTGTAGTGGCCTTCGCCTTTGAATAACAAATATATATATATATATTTATATATATATATATATATATATATATATATATATATATATATATATATATATATATATATATATATATATATATATATATATATATATAACCCTCGGCATTTGGCAATGCCGACCTAACTGTTGAACTGAAAGTGTTTGAGGTCGGCAAAAAAATGCCGAGCTCAAAAAGATTGAGGTTGGTAATATTTTGCTGACCTCATTTTTTCTAATTCCGAGGGTTGTGTATATATATATATATATATATATATATATATAATATATATATATATATATATATATATATATATATATATATATATATATATATATATATATATATATATATATGGACAATTCCATGGCAGAAAATGAAAAAGTAGTAAAATTTTATTCTCTTTTTCGTCAACTTTTAGCAAATGAATATTGATGTAGACACATAAAAGTTTGTTTAAAATGCATCTTTAGTACTAAAATTAATTTATTTAAGTCATTTTTACGCTTCTGAAAGTTACGGTTTTTCTCATTGTCGCATGATTAATCATAGTGAAATGTTATTTTAACCTTGTTTTCCGTGTAACGTAAGTTAAGTGGTATTTACAGTAATGTTTGTCCTCTTTTGGCCAGACTCAAAACTTTTTAGCTTATTTTGTTTTTTAGACTTTTTAGACAGCTTTCATACAAAATAGCTTAAAGTTTAATTTACAGTTTTAATAGGCTAATATTTGATAAATTTTTTGCGCGTTAACTCAAGTTAAAATTGGAATCGCCCATATATATAATTAAATGTGCATATATAATTGAAATTTTAGCAATTAACATAAATTTTAATAAAAGAACAAGTACCCTCTCATAGACAAAAACATCCATGTACCATCATTTAAGTTTCATATGAGCAGCTTTTTTTTTATAATTATTGCATATGACTAAATTATAATTTTAAAACATTGATTACACTATATATAAATATATATAATATATATATTTATATATAGTGTATATACACTATATATACACTATATATAAATATATATAAATACACTATGCTTCTTAAAGTCATAATTAACTGATAAAAATTTAAGTTTAAATTTTAAAGAAAAACGTAAAAATAAGACAAATAGGGTATTATAAATTCTCATAAATTATTATTAATTATAATAATGATAAATTAATTTATTAAAATATTGATTAATATTTAATAATAATAATCTTTTAAATTAGTATTATAAAGCCTATTATATATTTTTTCGACGTTTATATTTGTTAAAAAAGATCTGTGTCAATACTCGCACGAATGAACTGCATCTTTTTTTTATGGAGAGGGATGAGGGAAAGATTTTAATAATGTCCAATTATAGTAAAAACTTATAACTCTTATAGCAAATGATCTGTTTCTTGATACAATAAAAATATTTATATTTTTAATTTAAAATAGTGGAATGTTGGAGAAAATAAGATGGCTTACAGATGTTTATCAAAACCTACGAAAAACTTTTAACAAAATAGAGTTAATTTCTAAACTACCAGGTAACGTTTTTGTGTACTTGTTCTTTTTTTGACTAAATTAATATAATATATAAATATAAATATATAGGATAGCTAATGTATGTAAAATGAATCATTCACATTAAAATTTTTAGGATGATATCTTTTTAAATGACAAAAAAGAAAATTATCTAGATGCCAAATTTTAAAAAAATTTTTTTAAACATTTTATATTGTAGAAACCTTCTATTATTGAGTTCTTTTAAATGAAATTCATCATATACCTTATGTTTTTTTACTCTGTTGAAGCCTTTCAACATAATCTTTCAACACTATCTCCTTATGTTGCCTTAAAGTATGAAGCTTAGTTCTTTCTCTTTGTTGGAAAAAAATTGAGCTAATGTCCCTGCTGTCTCTTTTTTGTTAAGGATACAAATTACATGTAAAATTTTGATGATAGAACCTTTTGTCTCAGATACTAATATTGCGGAGCAGGGGTGTCGAAGCTTTTTATTGTAAAAGCCATTAATTTATTCTGACATCGACACAATTTTTATTTTTCATTTAAACAAACTGTTACAAAATATGTTTTAATGTAAAACTTGTCATTGATTGTTTTTGCATAAACTTTAAATTTTTGCATTTATACTTGATGGCAAAATTCGAAAAGTACCAGTAAGGTATCTTTCAATATATTCTTTACCTTTTTAACAAATTTTTGTTTTTTTTAACAAATTTTTGAGACAAAATAGTTTTACACAGTTTTTTATCAAGTTCTGCTTTGCAATATTTGCTGTGAATTTTGTTACCACTGTTGGAACTAAATAATTTACTTTTCATCGCAGGAACATTTTTTGTAAGTAATTTCGTTTTGTCAATACAAAATTGGCATTCAAATTTTGTCATAACTTGCAAAATAAAAGAGTAAGCGGTTATTTTTGACAGAACACAAGTAAAACAATTTAACACATTTTTAACAGCTTTTTAATCAAACCTAATTTTTGAAACAATCAATTTTTGTCAATTTTTAAAGCCTGATTACACTGAAAGTTTTTATTCTTATCACTGACTGATACAAATATTTTTTGATTTTTTCTTAGTTTTGAGATGATGTTTTTTGTTGATAAAAAGTAAATTTTAGTAAAAGGGAAGTTCTTAATACGTTTTATGTGGGTGGAAAAAAATTTCCGAACAATAATAAACGTCCCTTCCCGTGTATTAAGCACCTAAAAAAAGTTAGGTACATTAAAAATTATGTATAAGTAAATAAAAATTCGAAAATTTTAAAATATCAGAAAGTGATATTTGGGCCATGTCTAATGACAATTTGTAATATCAATATTTGAAAAATTTAAAATATTGGAAAGTGACAGCTCGATCCTTGACCATGCAAATGAGTTGTTTGTCTTCATGTCTTCGTATGATTTGATATTATTGCTATTCGTAACTAAATTTGACTTTTTATCAAGTTTTTTTTCTTTAATACTTTAATGATTTATTCAGTAACAAGCTATTGTTTAGTTTTCAGTAACAAGCTATTGTTTAGTTTTCAGTAACAAATTATTGTTTAGATGGTAATAATTTTTCTAAAATGATATTTTTTTTATGGATCTTGAGGTGTTTATTTTATCATTTTTGTAAAATCAAATTTGATTATCTTCTTTGACAGCAAATGTTGTATTTCCGCATTTTTATAGTTTGTTTTAATCAACTATTTCTTGAATTCCTTATAAAACTTTAAAACCATCTGATTTTCCACAATATGTGTGGACCATTTGAAACCATCTAATTTTCCAAATGTGGACCATTTGAAACCATCTAATTTTCCCTTAGACCATTAAAACTGATAGACACGGCGTTTTCGTAAATCTTTGAAGTCAACATTTTTCAGAGAATGTGACGTCACTTTGTGGCAAAAAACTAGAAAATACAAACTAAGATTTTTTATTTTAGTAAGATTTTATTTAAATTTTTTAGAAAAATTATTTTCATTAGAAATATATAGAACATATTTTTATGGGATATATTCTTATAAAGACTAAATATAGTAATTACTATGTCAATTCTTTAAAACTATTTATTAATAACTATTGTAATAAATACAAACTCTTATCCGTGAAATAATGTCTTTACCAGTTTTACTTCTTTTTGTGCAATTATATACACCCTAATTAAGAATAATTAAAAAATAGAAGATAAATGCAAAAACAATCTCAACCTAAAAATTTTGCCACAAACTGACGTCACTAAGCAAAACTTTTTTCGGTTTCACTTTTAGATTAGCATTATATAGCTAACGCTGTGTCTTAAGTTTTAATTGTCTAAGAATTTTCCGCAATAAGAGTGGACCATTTGAAACCATCTGATTTTCAACAGTGAATTTAGTAAAGTGAAAGTAGTATTCTGCTTCTTGTAAAATAGCTTATATCTGGTTGCTTTAAAAATGCTATAATTTTTTTTTGTTTGCCTGTACCATTAAAAATCTCTCAGTTTTAAAAGATAACTTTTTCCTATCATTAGAAAAAAATTTTGGTGGCAAACTTTGCACAACAGAAAAAAAGACTTTAACTTTGGTTTGACGGTTTTGATTTTTGCATAAGTAATGGACAGAATAGTATTAGTTACTAATATTTACGAAAGAAGTTCTGTTTGTTTGTTTTTTGTTTGTTTTTGTTTTTTTAATAATTTTTCTTAAATTAAATTACAGATGTAAGAATATATCTGAGTGCTCCTTTGGATAATGATGAACAGCTGCTAATGTAAGAAATAATTAACGAATTTTAAAAAAATGATGTTACTTATTAATTTATTTAACGTGAACTTTTTTTTTGTTTTGTTTTGTTTTTTATAGTTGGCTAAAAGACTTATGGATTGCTAAAATCACACCGTGTGTAGAAGATAGTGTCATGTATCGATCTTCATCTGCAACAGAAAATCAACAAAATGTTCTTGTTGCTGCAACACTTAAAGCTTTGTTTGAAAAAGCAATCAGACCCGGTTGTCCGTTTAATTTTGATATTACAACGTCTTGAGCTTTTACGTATCTGACCTATTAAGTGTACCCATTACTCCAAGCAGAAACAAGCTGATCCATTAAGTTTACGTGATGTACCAAGTATGTCTATAAAACGGTTTAACCTTTATTAGTTGTAATGTGGAAATATTTGATTTTTATCTTGTCTGTCTGCGTAGGAAATAATTTTCTAAATGATTAATTTTAAATAAAAAACACTTTTTAATATTCTTATTTTTTATATTCATTTTTTACAAAACATATTTATTAATAAATATCTGATTAATTCTTCTATTTAATATTTGACTAAAAATTATCTAATTTTTTTAAATATATATATTTTTTTAATTAACTCATTGGGTTCTTTGTTTTATTTTGTTATTTTTTTGTTTTTTTGTTTTGTTTTGTTTTTTGTTTAAAAAGTACTCCTGAAATGAATTTTTATTGGTGAATTTTATAGAAAGTCAAAAACGGATTTTATATTTTAGTATTTATTTTTATACTTGGTAAATGTTTTGTACATTTTGTAAAATGTCGTTTTTATTGCAATTTTGATATAAAAAGTTATATAGTCTAGGAATTATATTTGGAAGATTTTTTATTTATTTCTTTATAAACAACAACTTCACTAGTTAGCAATTGAGTTACATTAAAATCTCACTTTTGTAAATACATCTGTAAAAAACCACTCTAATTAATTATTTTAGACACATTAATTGAGAAGGGTTTTAGCTAAGTTGTTCTCTTTCTTGTAACATCGTGTTAACTAACTAATATATCCGTAACAAAAACTTTTACAATCCAAAAATTGAATAATCAAGAAAAACCAGATAAAACCAGTAATAAATAACAAAAAGCCGTATAATAATAAAACACTTTTAACATACACCCCTATGTTGACTTGGTCAACTAATAATATAACTCTTTTAAACGCCGCAAATTTTCGCCTGCGCTCGCTGCCTGTCTGATCGGCCGCTTACAAATTGACCTGCACGTTTCATCAGTAGCAATCACACCTAGTTCAGTTTCATTTAATTTGTTGGTAATTTCAAAAGGTATTAATTTTTGAATAGGTCGGAAACATGTTGTTCTAATTCCTTCTTTGGATAAAACTTGTAAACGCGCACCTCGTACTTTTCCATCAGCTCCTCTAATAAGTTCCAAAACTTTTCCCATACGCCACTGAATTCTAGGGATCTTGATATCATCTCGTATAAGAACTACATCGTTTAATACTAGCTGTTCGTTGTATGAAGTTTTACTTTTTACGTATAAATGGTGTTGTTTAAGTTCATTAAGATAAGAAGTTGCAAACCTTCTCCAAAAGTTAAATATCGTTGTTTTTATAAATATAGCTCTTTTCGAAATATCATTAGGTAGTAGACTAATTCCATTCATTTTATTAACAATATTTCGTCCATACATTAAATGGTATGGTGTTAATGCTTCTTCAGTGTCATCCTCGCTCATGTAAAATAATGGACGACTGTTTATCACAGATTCAATTTCACATAAAATCGTTTCGAGTTCTTCGTAAGATAAAAGAGACTTACCAATTGTTTTCTTCATTGTAATTTTTACAGATCTAACTAAACGTTCGTAGAAACCGCCCCACCAGGGGGAAGCTGGTAGAATAAACTTCTGTTGCACATCATTTTTCATCATAAATTTTTTAAATTCCTTAGATATAAAGGTCTTAAAATTATCGGAGATAATAAGATCAGGAAAACCTCTTCGCGCTGCAAAACGCTTAAAAGCTCTTATGAAGGCCGGAATTTTCATGTCAGGTGTCAGTTCAAGATGGATTGCTCGACTAGACGCGCAAGTCAATAGTAAAACATAGACCTTACAGGCAGCATCTTTATTAACTGTTTTTACAAATAAAGGTCCTGCATAATCTAAACTGCTTGAAAGGAATATAAATTATTAACTCGAAAATCAGGTAAATCTGGGCTGCTAGGTGGTAACAATGTTCTTCCTTGGAACTTCTTGCATGTTACACATTGTCTAATAATACTTTTTATCGTCGATCGTCCTTTTATTATCCAGAATTGAGATCGTACTTTATTCAACGTTGATTCGATTCCATGATGCAAAACTTGTTCATGACAGTTACGAATCAGTAATATTGTAAACCAACTTTCTTTTCCACATAATATTAAAGGATGTTTTTCTGCAAAGTTTAAATTAGCATTTTCAAATCTTCCTCGTAATCGTACTAATATGATTCCATTTTTCTCTATCAACCACTTTTCTAATGGCATTCACTCTATTCTCCACCCATGGTTTCCACGTTCTTTCCTTACCTTTAATCCAATACAATGCCACTTCTGAATCACACCAGCAACTTACATCCTCAAAGTGCACTCTTCCTTTCAAAACTCTTAATACTTCCTCTAAAAGTCGGCTCAGTAACACACAACCTAATAACTCTAATCTAGGTATACTTAATTCTTTTAAGGGTGAAACACGTGACTTTGAAACTAAAAACTTCCTATTCACTCCTAAACTAGTTTCTACAAGTAGATATATAACGGCACAATAAATTAATTTAGAACTGTCACAAAGTCCATGCAATTGAACACGCTTACTACTCTCATTCACTCTCTCAAACACAAATCTTGGGATTCTAACAAAACTTAATAATTCAAGATCCTTTAAAAATGCTGTCAAAGCTAATTCTATTGCTTCTGTTACTATTTCATCCCATCCACTTTTATCTCTACAAATTAATTGAAAAATTGTTTTTACTCTTGAAGTTATTGGTGTTAAAAAACCTAGAGGATCAAAGAAAGATGCTGCTATCTTAAGAATATTTCTTTTAGTAATTTTTAGCATTCTTGCATTTTTAACAAATTCTCTAAACTCAAAAACAAATTCATCTTTTAATATATCCCACTCAATTCCTAAAATTTTTATAAAATTATTATTGTTTTCATTTTTAATAATTTCACTTTCAAAATATTTTAATTCATCAACTTTTAGATTACATTTTAAGTTTTCACTTTGATTTGTTTCCTTTATATTAAAATAATTTTGTAATTCGTAATCATTTGTAATCCATTTTCTTAATTCGAATCCTGCATCTAAAAATATACATTTAGATTTTTTATAAAGCATTTTTCCTCGTCATTAATAGATTAATAGATGATCTTTATGTCGTCAACATAAAGATCATCTATTAATCTTTGAATAAATTTTTCATCATGTTTAATGTATTTATTAAGATGGTGTTTTAAAAGTGGCATTTAAAAGAAAAGGACTACTAGTTAAACCAAAAACAACTCTAAGAAATCTATATACAATTAATTTAGCCTCTTTATCAGATATACTCTCGTACCACAAGAACCTCAAGTAATCTCTGTGTTCAGGAGAGATTTCAATGTTTAAGAATGCTTGCTTTATATCAGCAATTATCCCTTAGCATTAAACCTAAATTTTAGTAAAATATCAAATATTTTTGACAATAAATTCGGACCTGAATACAAGCAATCATTTAAAGACGGTCCTGTTGTCTAACAGGACGCATCAAAAACAGCTCTAATTTTTGTAGTATCCTTATCTTTTCGAATGACAGGCCTATGAGGCAAATAATGCACACACCCTGGTTCTTTAAATATATCAGACTCACTAACTCTTTCTATTATATTATTTTTTTCATAGTCTATAAAAATTTGATTATATTCTGTAACCAGTTGTTTATCATTTAATCTTACCTTTAAATTAGCCAGACGTTTTTTACAAATGTTATGGTTATCAGGTAAAAAATCATGATCAGTTTTGAATGGTAACTTTGTTATATATCGTTCTCCGTTATGTGTGAGATCTCTTTCAAACTGATACATCACACAACTCTCAGGAGATTCTATGGTTTCAACAGACCAAAATTTATTTAGATCTTTCCTAAGCTCATCTATTTCACTCTCAACCTCACAGTGCATAGAATGACTAATAAAAACTGTTTTAGTAGTATTTTTTGTACTTTTTTCCAGAGAAATAGGACCACTTAATACCCACCCTAAGATTGATTTACTAGCTACTAGGCCACATATTAAACTTCTTACGATTCTTCCAGTAATAAAACTGTGATAAAAGTCTATACCTACTAAAATATCAACATGAAAATCAAGAGTCCCATCATCATAATCAGCTAATGAATATTTGGATAATTGTTTAAATTGATTACAAGCTAATGACACATTTTGCCCTTGCAGAGGGCTACAAATAACTGGTACACATAAAGCCTCCATATAAACACTGTGATCAGTATATTTATGTTTGACCTTAAATTGAACAACATTTAATAATTGCAATGTTTGTTCATAATTTTTCCCAAATGTTTTTATTATAATTTTCTCTTTCCTAATAGTTTTTAAATTTAACCGTTTTTGAATATTTTCACTTATATATGATCGTTGGCTTCCACTATCAAATAAGATTCTTGCCTTTAAAGACTTATTTTCTGAAACTGAACTTATGTTTGCCCTAGCTGTTTGAAACAAGATAGTTTGTTGGGAAATGTAATGTGTTGCATGCCCAACAAAAGTGTTTTCTTTTTCACACAAGGAAATATGATGCTTTTTTTTGTATTTACTACAAATATAATTTGCTTGACAATTCTTTAATATGTGATTCGTTCTAAGACAATTAAAACATCTACCTTGCTTTTTTAAAATTTCTTTTCTAGTTGAAAAATTTGTCACATTTTTACATTCCCAGGGGTTGTGATTTTCTGAACAGTATACGCAAGGATAATTATAATTTCTTTTGTTTTGGTAATCGCTATCAAATGATTTTGGAAAAACTTTTTTGTAATTATTCTTAGAGTTCTGATTAATGTTCTGTGAATATAATCCTGCAGTTGTGAATAACTGACTTTTATTTTTTCTGTTTTCAACATTTCGACTATTAGTTGAACAACACTCTATTGCATTTAATTCTTCTCGAAAATATTTTAATAATAAATCTATAGTTCAAACCTCCCCACCAAATTTCCTCGAAATTAACAGAACTAAATCATCTGGTATTTTTTCTTTCAAAATAGGAATCAGAAGACTTCCATATGTGTTAGTTTCAACTTTTAATTTCAAATTTTTTTGATTTCAAATTTCGAACACTTGCCTCTATATCATTATAAAGCTTTCTTAAGCCATCAACATTATCACTATTTTTTACTTTCACAAGTTTTAATAATAAATCTATGTGTGCAGAGATTAAAATTTGTGGGTTACCATACCGTTCAGTCAATAAAGAAACTGCTTCTCTATAATTTTCTGACGATAAGGTTAAACCACAAATGGTAGTCAATGCTTGGCCTCCTAAATATTTTTTTAAATAATTGAAACAATCAAACGATCAAACGATCAACACTATTCTGTAAGCTTAAGCAATATTTTTCTTTTTCCCATCTCATCTTTCAGAAAAAGAAAATCCTCAGACTTGTCAGAATGAAAGCATTTGATACAGTTGACCACAACATCTTACTATCAAAATTAAAACATTACGTTATCAAAGAACTAATGTATAAATAGGTAAAAAACTATCTGAGTAACAGAAAGCAGTTTGAAATTAACAAAGAGTAAAGTGTTCTTGATATTGAGTGTGGGGTTCCACAAGGCTCAATCTTATGACCGTTATTGTTTTTAATTTACATCAACGGTATGCATAAAGCATCATCTATAGTATCTTCAATAATGTATGCTAATGCACAACTATATTTTTTAATCATAGTAATTTAAAATCGATGTTCGGAACAATGAATACTGAACTGGAAAACTTTAATTTATGGTTTAGAGCAAATAAACTATCCTTAAACTGTGAAAAAACTACATCTTATTTCATAAAACAGGTCAATCAATGTCTCTACCTTTGAAAATTCCAAAATTGCTCGTTAACAACAGAACAATAAAACGGGAAAAATATGCAAAGTTTCTTGGTGTTCAAAATTGATGAAAATTTATCAAGGAGAAATCATATTGGACACATTGAATCAAAATATCATCTGCAATTGGTATTTTATATAAATGTCTCCCGTTTCTTGATTTCTGTTCAAAAAAAAAACTTTACTTTAGTCTAACTCACAGTCATCTAACATATGCTAATATAGTGTGGGCTAATACACACAAAACAAAATTAATCAAATTACAAGACTTGCAAAACCATGTTTGTAAAGCATTTCATTATCTAGGTATAATGGACAATCCTTCCAATGCAATGACAAATATGAAAGTCTGCAATAGACCTAGGGTTCGAAAGGCCCTGCAATAGACCTAGGGTTCGAAGTCTGCAATAGACCTAGGGTTCTAAAAAGCAATTGACCTTCGAATGCCTAGAGCTTGCTTCGATAGGGTTCAAAGCAAGCTCTAGGCATATTTCGCACCGTCGGTAAGAATAAAGGTTTGAATTTTCAAGTTTAATACTGTTCTGATGTACTCCATGGCAAAACCGTTAGGTCTTTTCGAAACATTTAAAGCAAAAAAAAAATCTTTATAAAACTTAAAAAGTTCTTAAAAAATTTCTTTTTTAATTAAATGTGTTTTTAAAACCCAAATTCGGCTTTCAGTTAAATTTGGTTTAGAAGTCCAAATTCACCGTTAAGTTAAATTCGGGCTACATATATGGCTTAAACTCGTCTTTCATATAAATTCGAGTCTTAAAAAGTCGACTTCGCCGGTCCCTAGTATGGGGTAACTCCATTGTGTCATAAACAATTTTAAGAATTTTTTCAACTGCTTGAAGAAATAAAAATTCAAAACTTGTTATTATAAAATTACAGATAATAA